TTAGCGAAATTTCACAAGGGCTAGCCATTTTCACTCGGAGTTCTCGGACTAAACTAAATTGAAATTTCTTCGCAGAAAAAACACAACACTTGTAAGTTTTTAATCATTCGAAAAACACAACGCGAAATAAATAAATAAATGCCAACAAGAAGCACAAATAACAACTAACAACCGGGACCGGCAAGAAACAACAAATAACATTAAACATGTGGTATTTTTAGTGGCGGGCTTAGCGATATCGATACGAGGTATATACATCGATACAGCTTCCGATAAAGAGCATATCGAGAAGATTACATCGTATCGATATTATATCGATAAAGAACTTGCAAAATTAAAAACTAAACTTGTGTTTTCTCGCGGAGCGAATGGTTCGAACTACGGTTTAAGCTAATTTGTAAATGACGACATCACTTGTGAACGCGAGAAAATGGAAGGTTTGAACCAGTCTTGTGTGAACGAAGAACAAGCCATGAGTCCGGTTAGAACTTTTTTGAACCAGGTTCAATGTGACGTCAGTAATTCAATGCAAAAATGTACAGGTTCGAACCGGATCGAACCAGTTCCACCACAAGAAAACAGCTCAAATAAAATTAAAAACTCATTCTATTAGTTTATAATAGTTGTTCTGAATGCAATTTGCAAATTTTGTTCTAACTCTGAATTGCTTTCAATCGGCTCTAGCTGTACTCGAATGATAAGGAGTTTGCGCTAACTATTTCAGAGGTCCGACTTTAGATACACACTACTACTCTTAGAGCAGGTAAAGCGCTGTCCTACGGACATAAGGAGTAGGAACGCGCCATTCTGCTTATGAAACTAAAGTGAAGCCAAGTTTTTGGCAGGTGTTTGGCACCAAAATACAGGTAAAGCATTGAATTGCCATAACCGCCAATTTTTGTGGGCCAAAATACCTGGAAAAAAACGGCTTCATTTTCCAAATCCAGGTTACTACTCCTTTACCTTTACCTGCTCTAAGCTACTACTACAGGATGGCCTATCCTCATTAAGGCCTGTGTGTAACAAATCCCCATCATCAAATTACCAGTTGTGACGTAGGCAGTATGCTATTCCTCGTCTTTTGACGTAGGCTGTTTAAGTAGCTGACGATTTCGTTATGACGTTTGAAATGGTAATACACCTTAGTAAAACACTAATATGGCGGCGATTACCAAAAACGAGGCCGAAGGCCGATAAGTACAGTACTTCTTATTAGAGTGTGTATTTTCCTTGGGTGCAAACGGTCATTAATAGGTTTGTTTGTTTGTGTCGCACCAATTTGAACGGGCGGGTATCATAAAACTGCTTTGACGGTTAACTTAGAGTTAACTTTTTGAATCACATGTAATTCCAGAAGTTAACGTTAAGTTAACTCTCAAAGTAGTTTTATAAGGCCTGTTCGCAGAACAATCACAAACCAGTCAGAGTGAATCTCATTGGTTGAAAATAGTTTTCTGACTGTTTCTGATTGTTTTCAACCAATGAAATTTGCTCTGACTGGTTTGTGATTGCTGTGCGAACAGGCCTATAATACCCGCCCTAAGCGCAAGATATTTATTTTAGGTTTGTGACGTCACCAGTTCAACTGATAACTGCTTAGAACAATAAAAATTATAACACAAACGAACGGAGTTTCCGGATATTCCGATTATTTACTATTTAATAGATTTCTGGTTTTGATTTGTGGCAGATTTGGACAATTACAATTTGTTTTAATGGATGAGGATAGCTTTGCACTGGTTTGAAAAAAGATCGGTTCTAGAGTGGTTCAAAACAATCGCACAGTTCATTATTGAAATTTTGTGATAGCCGTATTATTGCCGAGTCCTTATCATTTTGTTAATTGATAAACTGTGCAATTGTTTTAAACCGCTCTACAACAGACCTTTTTTCAAACTCGACCAGGCCCGAAGTCGAATTAGTATTATCATGTAGAGCTGCTTTCGGGTGTCACCCTTTGAGCGCTCCCGAGCTACTGCGGAGTACTCCGGCTACATTTCTACCCGTTCGGCTTCAAACGTTCGAGTGCGAAACGCATATGGAGTATGACAGGTCACTAACAGGTATGAAGTGTTCTAGAAGCACCCGAAAGCGGCTGAGGATAGTGATGGAGGAGAGGACTGTGAACCATAAAATGTGGCGTTTTTGACATTTAATTCTAGGCTGCCTTATCTTACTCCTTCTCGAAAGCAAGTGCAGGTTGAACATGAAATGAACAGTTTGGTAGAAACTGCACTTCACAAAAGTTGTATTCCTTTCAAGAGTTTAGAACACTCGAGCAACTCGCTCCGGTGCTAATTGCCACCGATTTGTAAAGCCTAGTACTCAAAACAAGGGCGTAACGCCCCGGAGCTGTTCGAGAGCTCCTCCTAGGAGTGAAAGGAATACAACTAAGGGCGGGTATTATAAAACTACTTTGAGAGTTAACTTCAAGTTAACTTCTGAAATTACATGTAATTCAAAAAGTTAACTTCAAGTTAACTGTCAAAGCAGTTTTATAATACCCGCCCTAAACGAACGCTTGTCAGTTCATTATTTAGGGCGGGTATTATAAAACTGCTTTGACAGTTAACTTGAAGTGAACTTTTTGAATTACATGTAATTCCAGAAGTTAATTTTAAGTTAACTTCTGGAATTACATATAATTCAAAAAGGTAACTTCAAGTTAACTATCAAAGCAGTTTTATAATACCCGCCCTAAGTTGTATTCCTTTAAAGAGTTCAGACAAACATGGCAGCAGCCTTAGAGCAGGTAAAGTTAAAAAGGAGTAGTAACCTGGATTTGGAAAATGAAGCCGTTTTTTTTTAGGTATTTTTGCACTCATAAGCAGAATGGCGCGTACCCACTCCTTAGGTCCGTAGGACAGCGCTTACCTGCTCTAAGGCAGCAGCCCGTTTTTACTTTTGTCTTCGTCATCGACGTCAAATGTCTGTCACTCAGTGCCGCGCCACTTAGGGCGGGTATTATAAAACTACTTTGAGAGTTAACTTGAAGTTAACTTCTGGAATTACATGCAATTTAGGGCGGGTATTATAAAACTACTTTCAGAGTTAACTTAAAGTTAACTTCTGAAATTACATGTAATTGAAAAAGTTAACTTCAAGTTAACTTTCAAAGCAGTTTTATAATACCCGCCCTTAAGAAGTTAACTTCAAGTTAACTGTCAAAGCAGTTTTATAATATCCGCCCTTAGGCTCGGTTTCAATAGCAATTTGCCTCTGGGTTGGTTTTAACTCCAACCAAGTTCGTTTTTGTCATCTTTTTCGTCGATTTGCTCCGAAATTTTGACAGGCATGTGATTTGTAAATTGAAACTATCTTATCCAGTCACGTGCTTGTCAAAAATTCGAAGCAAATTGAAGAAAAAGATGACAAAAACCAACTCGGCCAGGGTAATAGTGTCTTAGAGCCGGTTTCTCAATAGCAGGACACCCCCGGGATAAATAAGGGGTTAAACATAACTCCAAGGTGAACAAAGCAACTGGACACGCTGACCCTGGAGTTGAAATTACCCGGAGGTGACTCCCTATCGAGAAACCTGCCCTTACGTGTCCAGTTTCAATGGAGTTATGCTTAACCTGGGGGTGAGTTGCTATTGAGAAACCGGCCCTTAGGGCCGAATTTATAGTTGCTCCTTTAGGTTTCCTCAGAATCCTCAGACCTCAAGCGAACGAACGTTTAGAATTGATATATGAATAACTTGTCACATAGTAGCAAGTGTCCACTCTTAACTCACGACCTTCAAGGAAGACCCAAGGAACAACTATAAATTCGGCCCTTACCTAAATCCCACACATTTAACAACTAGGGATGCCCATCCAACTGATAATATCGATGTTTCGGTATCGATAAAACATCGAAAGCTGATATCGATGTTAAGAAAATATTGATAGAAAAACATCGATGTTTTCTCAACATCGATTTTTGGAAGGTAATAATTTGGGCCTGACGCCCCCAAAAAAATTTCGGGGAGCCTGCGGCAAGCTGCCTCCGGCCGGCGCGGCGGTAAGTAAGCGCGTGTACCGGATTTTTGTTTACCCCCCCCCCCCCCAGACCCACACTCTGGATGCGCCACTGGCACTGGCTTTCGTCAACATTTTCGTGTATTTAAATAGTTTGATTCGGACTTGAGCACATCAGATGCAATAAATACCTTTCAAAACGACAGCGCGTAACGCCCCAAAGCTGTTCCGAACGTTCTCTGAGGTGTGAAAGGAATGCAACTATTATTATAACACAAACGAACGCCCTCCCCAAAGCAGAAAGTGCAGCTCTGAACAACACAAAAAACAAACCCAATAATAGTTCAAATCATGTCAAACAACCGATTTCCATTTGCTACCACAACTTAAGGCAGTTAACTCTACTACTCTACTTACTCTAAAAATTTCCCGTGGTGGAACTATTAATCTGAGGTTCCATTTACTCATAGCCGTGCCGAATGAACCACTCTCAATTTTGAATAATTTTGATGTTACTCTATTTATATTGATGATCGGAGTGTCTACGGGATGATCAAACCGAATCCAGGGTTGCGTTTCGAAATAGCACTCTGGGTGTGAGTGTGACCCTAGAGTAACTCTAAACCGTTCATAAATTAACAGGTGCTTACTCGAACCGTTACGCTGGAATCGTTCAGAAATCAAGAGTTGACGTGTCCAGAGTGCGCCCAAATTACCCTACTCAGGGACTGCGTTGAAAAACGCCCGAGGTTTTTACCGGGTTTGATGTTGACGTTGAAACACCCCAATTACGTTCAGAAAAGGCGCCCCCAGAGTGCACTCTAAGTGATGACGTCAGATTCTCTGACAAACAACTACTCTACCTTCACACACCAATGACGCTCAGAAAAGGCGGACCCAGAATTCACTCCCAGTGATGACGTCAAAACACTCTGACAAACAACTACTCTATCTTCACACTCTATTTCTAAACGCACTCCAGCTGAGTACAGAGAAAAGAAAGCACCTTTTCGAATTGACACCTGCCACAAATTTAACCTCACTTTTAATTTATAAAAACACGCGACGCGATTCCAAAACGTTGTGTTCACGTTTTTGTGTTGTTCCCAACTTGAAAGTGTTTTTTGCACCTCCGTGAAGCGAAAAACTCGCCGAGAGGTTGCATTATATTCGTATATTATTCAAGAAACGATTTTTATCTATTCTTCATAATGGTAAGTTCAATTATTGAAATGTATGGTTTACAAATCCTAATGTGGGTTTATTTTGTTATTAGGCCGAAGAAGTGAACGCTAAAGCCTACCCGCTGGCCGACCCGATCCTGACCACCAAAATACTGAATTTGGTGCAACAAGCCATGAACTACAAACAGCTTCGCAAGGGGGCCAACGAGGTTACCAAAACCCTGAACCGAGGCATCTCCGAGTTCATTGTGATGGCTGCCGATTCGGAACCCATTGAAATCCTTATGCATTTGCCATTGCTGTGCGAAGACAAGAATGTGCCTTATGTGTTCGTGAGGTCCAAACAAGCTCTGGGGCGGGCCTGCGGCGTGTCTCGCTCTGTGATTGCTTGCAGTGTGACCATAAACGAGGGGTCTCAGTTGAAAGCTCAGATTCAGAGCATACAGCAGGAGATTGAACGCTTATTAGTTTAAATTTTAAGAGTACAAAATGTTTTTTTAATTTTATAGGATTAAAAATTGGGATTGTGAAATGTTTGTTTTTCTTTCTCAGGTTGTCTGGTAATTTGTACTTGATAACGCATGTGGGGTGCCTTATGGAGATTTGCATTATGTTGAGGCACCCCACATGACATCATAAAGTTATCAGGTCGTTCCCCAAGTCAAAAATTTAGTGTTGGCAATATAAGCCTATAAAAAAATTTGAAAGCATTTACAATTTTACATTGTATTGCCAATATAATGTCATTTTAACTTTTATCTTGGCCAAGTTCGTTTTTGTCATATTTTTCGTCGATTTCCTCCGAAATTTTGTAAGGCACGTGATTTGTAACTTGAAACTGTCTTATCCAGACACGTGCCTGTCAAAATTTCAGAGCAATTCGATGGAAAAGATGACAAAAACGAACTCGGCCCTTCAAATAAAGAAACAGCGACTACCTTCAATATGACCAAGGATAATATACACTATTATTAAAGGATAGCCGATGCTCATAAGGCATGTGTGGAACAAATCCTCCCTCTGCCCCCAAGCCAAATCACCAGTTGTGACGTAGAAGCATGTCCTTTCTCGCCGGAAGTAGGTTGTTTGCACTACAGGTTATGATTTTGCGAGCTTTTCCTTTATGCATAAGTTGTATTCCTTTCACACCTAGGAGGAACTTCAGAACAACTCAGGGCCTTACGCGTTTATTCCTTTCGAAAACGGTTTAGATGATAACCAAATGTATTGTTCCGCTAAGAAGGTTGTACTATTTGCTTTCGTGTCCTGTTCCGATTTTGGAGTACCTTTAAACTGGACCACTATTATTTGGACTTGGACTGTACACAGCTCATCCTATTTTGGAGTAAAAATAATTCAATTAGGATTAATACAGATAGAATACTGAAAGTAATTTAAATCGTGTCAATGCAAATAGAACAGAATAAAAACAGTCAAAGTAGTTCGAACAGTTGAACAGATCAAAAAGAGTCAGTTCACTTGGAACAGTCAGAGTACAATTACTAAAAACCCAAAATTAATTTTCAATTCAGCCTATTGTTATAGTGAATAAATTCATTGATTCATAGCATAACAGAGTAGTTCGAGTAGTAACAATCAGAACAGTGTCAACTGAACAAAAGTAGTGCAGATGAAACAGAAATGAAAGCAATTGGAACACTTAGAGTAGCTCGAACAAAGGAAGGAATTCAAATAGAATTGATGCAGATAGAATACTTATAGGCTGTCCATTTGTACTTTTCTTGCTTCAAGCAAATCTCAGCAGCTGATCGGCGTTCACCTGTCCCATAACACCCATATAATAAGCTCATAAAGAGCAGCTCTTAGCAGATCTTCCTAATTTTTCGAGCAGGAAGCAAGTGCAAATGAACAACCTATAGGGGGTATCATAAAACTATTTTAAAAGTTTACTTCTGGATTTACATGAGAAGTAACGTCATTCCAGAAGTTAACTTTTAGGTATTCTGTCAAAATAGTTTTATAATACCCGCCATAAATGGAGTTAGTGCAAATTGAACAGATTTAGAACAGTCAAAGTAGTTCAGACAGTTGAACAAATCAAAAAATGTCAGTGCACTTGGAACAGTCAGAGTAGAATTACTAAAAACCCAAAATTAATTTTCAAATCAGCCTACTTAAGCCTTGTACTCATAACCGCAAATTGCAAATTTTTATTTTGCGGATATTTTTCAATTGATCGAGTTTATCGAGGACCAATCCACAAAACAAAAATCCGCAATTCGCGGTTAAGTAGTAGGCAGTCAATAAATTCATTGATTGGTAGCATAATAGAGTAGTTCAAATAGTAAGAATCAGAGCAGTGCAAACAGGAAGAGAATTAGAACAGTCAAAGTAGTTCGGATAAGTTGTATTCCTTTCAAGAGCTTGAAACACTCGAGCTACTCGCTTCGGTGCTTAGTCGCCCCCCGATTTGCAGGGAACATATGCGTGGTGCAACAAACACTTTTCGAAAGGAATAAGCGCGTGAAGCCCCGGAGCTGTTCCGGAGCTCCTCCTAGGTGTGAAAGGAATACAACTATAGTTGAACAGATCCAAAAAGGGTCAATACATTTGGAACAGTCAGAGTAGAATTACAAAAAAACAGCCTACTGTTATAGAGGGCAATTACAGCAAGGATAATACACACTACTACTACAGGATAGCCTATCCTCATCAGGCGTGTAGGGAACAAATCTGAAGCCCCTACCACGCCAAATCATTAGTTGTGACGTAGAGAGCATGTCCTTTCTTGTCTTGACGTAAGCTCTACAGGTTTTGATTCCGCGTGCTTTTGCTTTATAAATATGTACTTGGTTTAATACATTAATTAACATTCTAACAGAATTATTTTTTAGATCTCGTTTTCATCTTCGTCTTTGCCTAATATGTTAATCAAAATTGAAACAATACTTTTCATGATAAATTTAAATTCTAAACTACGACCGCTAGTGCAAACAGCTAACAACTTAGTTATGACGTTGGAAATGGTGACACACCAATATAGCGGTGATTACTAAAAACGAGGCCGATAAGCAATCCTTAGTAGTAGGTATTATCCTTGCAATTACAATATATATACATCTGCAAATTTGCAGTTCTGCAAATATGGCCGACTTGCAGACGTGTTTTATCTCCAGGAACGAGCAAATTACAGAAAAAGTCAATTCCATCATATTTATCAGAAAAAAGTGTTTGAACAAGGTTTGAGCACTACTGATTTACCAGTTTCAAATATCAGAGTTGTCAAAGGGATGTCAAGGAATTACAACGGGACCGTTTCACCATATTCAAATTTGCAGGCGACTTGCAAATGCATTCTGCTTCAATCAATGAACTATAACCAAAAACTGGAATGCTAACACATAAGGACGAACGTGAAGCATAGTGCGGCTGCTGCGGAGGGGATACCTGTTTTTGTCGCACTCATTATGTTAAATGGCGAAAATTGCTTCCTACACGTATTCCAATTGATGAAACCTGTGAAGGGAAATATGACAAAACTTTCGAAAACGTCATATGACAGCGAGCAACAGAAGAAAACAACATTCCCCTTTGTGGCATCTGTCTTTCATGGCTACATTTTTTTGGCAGACATGGCAATGTGTGCGCATTCCAGTTTTTAGCTATAGTTCATTGGCTTCAATAATACGAAAAGTCAGACTTGCAGGTCTTGCATTTGTATCGGTATTGTAGAGCTTCTGTAATTCCGGGAATAGTCAATAAACTAATTAATTAGAAGGATGTTAGAGTAGTTTAAACAGTAACAATCAGAGCAGTGCAAACAAAACAGAGCTAGTACAGATAGAACAGAAATTAAAGCAATTCGAACACTTAGACTAGCTCGGACAATAGAAGGAATTCAAATAGAATTGCTGCAAAATAGTTTTATAATACCTAGCCTTAGAGTAACTTAAGTCAAGTTAATGCAAATGGAACATAATTGGAACAGTCAAGGCAGTTGGAATCGTTAAACAGATCAAAAAGAGGCAGTGCACTTGGAACAATTAGAGTAGAGTTACTACCCGTGTGTTCGGTATTCTGATCTGAGCTTGAATTCACCGTTCGTTTATTTGAAAAGTGTACTCGGTGCAGACTCATTCGCATTCGTTTTTTAAAATTTCGGGCACTCCGATACAGCGTTTAACTGCTCTGTTCGCTCGCTGATCACGTGATTACGGCTCCGCTCAGCACGCTCTGCTCTTTGAGCAAAATACCGAACGTAAAGAAAGAACCCAAAATTAATTTTCAGATCAGACTACTAATTACGCTCGGTTATTTACGCGCCACAATTCAAAAAGCTCCAAGTACAGAAGCATCTTCTATAACTCAACTTTGAATATTACAGGCTCGTCATTGACGTCATTCGTCTTCGCCGGTTTTGTTTTACAGAAGCTGTATTTCTTTCACACCTAGGAGGAGCACCGGAACAACTCCAAGGCATTACGCGCTTATTCCTTTCGAAAAGTGTTTGTTGCACCTCGCATCTCTCCCTTTAAAATCGGGGTCGACTAACACCGGAGCGAGTAGCTCGAGTGTTCCAAACTCTTGAAAAGAATACAACTAGATACAACAGACAATTTTTCGCTAGGATAATCAAGCCTTTTCCCATCAAATTCTGGGCCTGCAAGTGACGTCACTATCAGTAGCTTATGGTGATGACGTCACTGGCAAACCTCGAGGAAATGCTTGCTATTCGGGCTGTGCTAGTGAGTTAATATTTTCGTCGATTTTAAATATAGAAGAGGTGATTTTCGGTCTGTTCTCACAGAAGAAATTAAGTGTTCTTGATCCTCGAGTATCCCAAAATTTGATGGCGGGAGAGTTAGGGGAGTATGACACAAATGTCACATCACATAATCCAGCATAGGATTATGCTTGGTTATCCTAGCGAAAAATTGCATTATGGAATTGATACAAGAGGATGTTTTTCCCGAAATAATTTTTCGAAAGGTTATGTTTGAATATATTAGTAATTTGAGGATTGCCCAATGACATTTGGATTACCGGGATTATCCAACATAATCGAACATAATCTTCGGAAAAATTATGTCGCGAAAAATAGCCTAATATGTTTTCGAAAATGTTGCATTTTGGGACACTTCTTCACACCTGTCATATTTACTCCCTGCGTTTTCCATTCGAACACTTGAAACCGAACGGGGTCAAACTGTAGCTGAGCTGCATTGGATTGACCAGAGCTGTTTTCTCGCGGTGGAACTGGTTCGATCTGGTTCAATTCGGTTCGAACCTGCACATTCTTGGGTTAAACCAGTGACGTCACATTGAACCTGTTTCGAAAAAGTTCGAACCGGACTTTTGGCTTGTTCTTCGTTGACATAAGACTGTAAACCTATTTCCTCGCGTTTACCAGTGATGACGTCATTTACAAATTGGTTTAAACCGTAGTTCGAACCATTCGCCTCGCAAGAAAACGCTTCAAATTAGATCGATCTGGATCAATTTGAGTGAACCAGACCGTGTTCGATTGCAGTTGGATCAGTTTACCCTCACCAACAAAAAAATGATTTAGATCACAAG